TCCCCAAAGCCCCAGTAGATAGTTGTATGTCATAGTTGCACATCCTTCTAGTTGCTGTATGTGGGATGCGGCCTCAGCATGGCCAGAGAAGCGGTGCATCGGTGAGCGCCCAGGATCCAAACCCGGGCCGCCAGTAGCGGAGCGCACGCACTTAACTGCTAAGCCACAGGGCCGGCCCCCAAAATGACTTTCTTTTTCTACATTTGGGAATAAAGGGTCAGGTTGCAACCTAAACAGAATAGGTAGCTATGAATCAAAATATGTTAACAGAATTCCTAAACAATGGAGCTTCAAATAGAGGACTTACATATGCTAGTATTTTTCCTTCAGTGCATACATGCAAATATCATAAACGATAGTTTATGTTTTTTTTTTTCCTTTGGTGAGTGAGATTGGCCCTGAGCTAACATCTGTGCCAGTCTTCCTCTATTTTGTATGTGGGTTGCCACCACAGCATGGCTTGATGAGCAGTGTTGTAGGTCTGCGCCCGGGATCCGAACCCGCGAACCCTGGGCCACCAAAGCAGAGCATGTGAAATTAACCACTATGCCACCGGGCCAGCCCCCTAGTTTACGTTTTTTTAACATTGAATATTAGATAAGTTGGCTTGGGAAGGCCTTTCTGAGAAAATGACTTTTGAGTAAAGGTCTGAATGAAGTGAGGGAACTGAGAGATATATGCAGAAAGTGAGCATTACAGGTAGAGGGAACCAAAACTTCAAAGGCCCTGAGGTAGACTGTACCTTGCATCTTAACAGAATCACAAGGAAGTCACGTGGTGGAAAAAAACAGGGGGAAGAGTAGCAGATGATATCAGAGAGGAAAGATCATGTAGGGCCTTTAGTTCACAGGACAGACTTTGGCTTTTACTCTGAGTCATACCAGAAGACATCAGATTATCTTGAAAGAGGCGTGTCATACTCTGACATGATATAGATCACAAGAAGCAAATTTAAAAGATCATGGTGGGGCCAGCCCTGGTGGCCCGGTGGTTAAGTTTGGCATGCTCCACTTCAGCAGCATGGGTTCAGTTCCTGGGCGTGGACCTACACCATTCGTCTGTCAGTGGCCATGCTGTGGTGGCGGCTCACATACAAAAAGAGGAAGATTGGCAGCAGATGTTAGTTCAGGGCGAGTCTTCCTCAGCAAAAAAAAAAAAGATCATGCTGAAACAAAGAAGCATTCCTAATAAAATCAGCATAAAGGCAAGGATATTTACTATCTCTCTTACTATTGAACATTGTTATGAAGATTCTGACCCATGCAATAAGAAACAAACAAAGAGTATACAAATGAGAAAGGAAGTAACACAATTACAATCATTTGTAGATAATATATGTGTCTATTTAGAAAACCCAATGGAATTTAATGAAAAATTAGAAATAGTAATGGAGTTCAGTAAGGTGGCCAGATACATTACTATGATATTTATCAAAACTAAGATATTTATAAGATACAATGCAGATTTATATGAAAGAAGTGCATCTTAGGTTGCTAAACTGCAATAATATGTATGTTTTAAAAAGCTTTCATAAATACCAGTAATAAATGATCTGAAAATATAATGGAGGAAAAGATTCCACTCACAATAAACATGGAAACATAAAATATCTAGGAATAAAATTAACAATATACAAGACCTTCTTCATTAGATCAAAACTTTATCAAATGACATTTTTTAAAACTTAAATAAATGGAAAACATACCATATTCCTGGATGGAAAACTCAATATTCTAAAGACATTAATTCTCACTAAAGTAAAACTGTAAATTCATTGAAATTTCAACCCCAATTTCCATAGGATTTTAAAAAATTCAACAAATTGATTCTAAAACACAATTGTAAGAATAAATGAGAGACAAAAGCTAAGAAAAATTAGAAATAAATGAATAATGAAATACAGAAAGTCCAGAAACAAACCCATATAGTTATGTAAATTCACTTTATGATAAAATCGAAATTTCAAATCATTGGGGTAATTGGTCAACAGATGCTACTGGAACGTTTTGTTTTTTCATAAAAAACACAAAGAGGGGCCAGCCTGGTGGCGTAGTGGTTAAGTTTGCATGCTCCACGTCAGCGGCCTGGGGTTCACAGGTTCAGATCCCAGGTGCAGACCTACACACTGTTTATCGAGCCATGCTATGGCAGGCGTCCCACGTATAAAGTAGAGGAAGATGGGCACGGATGTTAGCCCAGGGCCAATCTTCCTCACAAAAAAAACAAAAAAACCCCACAAAGATAGATACCCATCTGATACCATTAAAAATAGTAAATTCTAGATAAATCAAAGATTTAAATGTTGAAATAAAATCATAAAGTTACTCAAAGTCAACATAAGTTAATATTTTGTAATCTTGGAATGAGAAAGGTTTTTCTAAGCATAACACAACATCCAGAAATCTTGAAAGACTGACAACTTTGAAAAGAAAAATACTTAAAATTTTGGTCTGGCAAAAGACCATGAACTAAGTTGAAAGAAACATGGGAAAGTAGACAAATATTTACAGCACACATTGACAAAAAGTTATAATCCTCAATACAAGCATCACAATAGGAAAAAATGTACAAAAGATAAAGACAGGCTAGAAATACTTGCGGATCTAACAACTTGAATTCTAAAATTTCTCTGATAAGAAATGTTCGCATAAATGCACAGAAATGTATGTATTGGATATTTGGGATAATTTTGTTTGTATTAGTAAAGACTGCACACATATCAAGTGTCCATTACTTAAAGATTGGTTAAATTAATCATAGTACATCTATAGTAAATAACTATATAGCCATTAAAACAATGACATAGATCTATACAAACTGAAACGAAGGATGTCCCTTAGAAATCGTTCACTTAAAATTATAAGCTGCAAACAGTATGTATAGTACTGTTATACATATACAACAGTACGATCTTATTAAAACATACATATATACATATATATATACATAGATATATGAACATATATTTATGCATACAGAAATGTCTGGAATAATATAACTCTAATTTTTAGTAATAATAATAGTGAACACTTACAGTGCAGTTACTATATGCCAGGCACTGTTCTAAATGATAGGTGAGGACATTATGCTAAGTGAAATAAGCCAGTCACAAAAAGACAAACACTGTATGATTAGTCAAACTCATAGAAGCAGAGAATAGAATGGTCTTTGCCAGGGGCTGGGGGAGGGGGAAATGGAGAGTTGTTGCTCAATGGCTATAAAGTTTCAGTTATGCAAGGTAAGTTCTAGAAATCTGCTGTACAACATTGTGCCTATAGTTAACAGTATGGTATTGTGCACTTCAAAATATGTTAACACGATAGATCTCATGTTAAGTGTTCTTATCACACAAACAAAAATTACAGCTATACATACCCTTTGGCATAGCAATTCCACTTCTAGGGATTTATCCTTTAGATCTACTCATACATGCGCAAAATGATATAAGGACAAGGTTATTCATCACAGCATTATTTGTAATGCAAAAAGTTGGAAATAATCCAAACATCCCTCTACATGGGACTAGTTAAATAAATTATTGTTCATTCATACAACATAATACTATGCAACAATAAAAATGAAAAGTCTTTATGTACGGATTTAGGGTGATCACTAAGATAGCAAGGTGCTACCATTTATATAAAAAAAGGACAAAATTTTATATATATGCCTATTTGCTTGTATATACACAGAATATCTCTGGGAAGATAGCTAAGAAACTGGTAACACTGACTGTCTCCTGGGAAGTGAACTAAATCGCCAGAGTGCATAGTTGATGTATTTCTTTTTCTACTTTTTAAACTATGTGACTTATACCTATTCAGAACATTAATTAGATTAACATTTGGAAAAAAAAAAAATACGTGAAGAATGGCTGACCTTTGGGCTCGGTAGATGTATTTAGAGTTTCCAGTGAGCCGGTACAGCAGCAGGAAGACATAGGCACTGCCAGCTACACCATGGCAAATCCCTGGCCCCTTCTTTAGCAGGCCCTTCTGCCATGTGAGTTCCCCACACCGGATACATGTGTCCAGGTACTGTGGCTTCTTGGAAACCAGATAAGCTTTGGCAAATAGATAGGCAATTCCTGTGAAAACCATTACAGACATTAGACGTGACTTTCAGAGCTTAATGCTATAGAGCAGAACTTCTCAAACTGTAAAAGGCTCACAACTCATCAGTGTATTGGTAAGATATCCATTCTAATCTGGTAGGTCTGAGGTGAGGCCTGAGATACTGCATTTCTAACAGGTGCCCTTCCGAGGACCACATTTTGAGTAGCAAGGCTATAGAATCTTCTACAAAGGAGTCTTATTTCACCTGTGAGATTTAGTTTAAGTTGTTGTTGGAGAAAGAGCAACAAGTACATAGATTGATAAAATCCATAAGTTACAAATGGGTTAATATTTAATGATGAATACTCTAGCAAGCATTATGCATACCTAGCTATTTGGAATGGCTAAATATTTATACAGTTTGCCCATTCCCCCAGAGAGGTTTAGAATTTGTAATGTTAAAGTACCTATAATTATACACTTTTCTTAAGAGCAAAACTGGGAGTCCTTCCATCAACAACAATGATCTCAAACAACCTGGCCAAGATTTCTATTCCAGCTGTGAAGTGAGTCCTTCTCAACTTGATTGTTCCACGGAAAGACATTTCCCTTCAAAACTCCTCAGCAAAGGCAATCTCAATTATACAAGCAGGAAGAGAAACAAGAGAAGTGACAGCTATTAATAGAAATAATTTCCCCCAAGTTCCGGGTGCTCACATTCAGAGAAGAGATTAGTAACACAAGATCACTCTCTCCCACGTGGCCTACCTTTCTCCTATACAAAGTGGGAAAGACTGGAATTTAGTAGGTATCTTGACTAGCTCATCCATCAGGATTATTTCTGCCTGTCATTGTCTTTGACTAGGCTATTTTACAACTCTGTAGAGATAGAAATTATCTTGTAGACAACTGGTAGTAATATAAATAATTCCTATCCCTAGAAACTCACATTCTGTCTGGTAGAGGTTGGATTGACTTCCCTCAGCCTTTGTGGAAGCAGCCAGTTTTGCATCTATTAGGCAAGTTCATGTCAGCATTCCTAATGGCCTATAAATATGTCTGCTCTTTGGATTTTCCGTTGTAACACCTTTCTTGTTCCCTCATTAATTAACGAGCTAAATAAAATCATTGCCATGTGTTTATTTTATGTTTGTATGAGAGTTATGATTATATTCTCTTTTAAAATGTATCATTTAACACTCCCTATGTTTAACACTTACATAACAATAGCTTCCCTCAGCCAATGCTTTCCAGTCAATCAGTGATAATGGTTACCTATAGCATTGTCCGCCTTCAGTTTTAGGAGAAAAGTCTCTCCCACAAACTCAAGAATGATTTTGAAAGACTTGAACTTATTTAAATATACATTCATTCACTGCATCCATTCATTTGAAAGTGTTCATTGATTATCTACTATATGTATAGCCCTAGGCAGGGCTAGCTTCATGGGCATGTGACCTGTACAGTCCCACAAGGGCCCTGAGAAGTTTAATGCTCTGCTGTTACCATCTTGAAATTCTTAATCATTTTTTAAAAAGGCCCCTGCATTTTAAAAAGGGGCCTCCCAAATTATGTAGCCAGCCTTGGCCTGGGTGATATAAAATAAATGCTAAACATGACTCCTGCCCTTCAGGAAGGCACTGTATAGAAAGGGAGAGAAAAATATGTACACGTAACTGATACATAATAGGATATGTAGTTCATGACCCTGTTGGGGCATAAAATGAATGGTACTGCCAATAATAGTAGAGGGATCAGAAAGGTGGGAGTTTCCCGAGGGAGGCCGTCAGGTGAGGCCTTGGATGGAAGTAGGGCTATCTTCACGACTTTGTAGGATGTATAGGAAACTCCAGGCTGAGGGTGAAGTCGAGAGAGCATTGTAGGCACCAAGATAAGCAAGGGCAAGGATTCAGAGCCAGGACAAACAAGCCACATGAAGACCAGTGGGGCAGTGTTCTATCCAATAGGACAATGGTGTGGAAGGTTAGATGGGCTCACATTATGGATGGTTTTACAAGTCCAGTTAGGCAGCTTGGACTGTATTCTGTGGGCAATAGGGAACCAGTGGGAGTGTTTTTTTTTTTTTTTTTTTGTGGATTGGATTTTATTTGTAATGATGTGATCGATATTTTAGACAAAATGTCCCATGGTGATGTCAAGAGAGATCTACAGAAGAGCAATGGGGTAGTTATGAGCTGATCATGTTGGCAGAAAGATGGCAAAGAGGCTAATGAAAGAGATAGCTCACAGGATTAGGTGGCTGTTTAGATATTAATTGAGCACCTACTGTATGCCAGGCACAGTAGTAGGTGCTAAGGTTTTAAAAAGCCCCTGCCTTTGTGGTGTTTACAACCTAACTGGAGGCACTAATTAGGCTATGTGAGGGGACACAGAGGTGTTGTGGAAGCACAAAGGAAGGCCCCTAACACACACTTGGAGGTAGGAAAGGCCCACTAGGGAGAGTGACCCATCTAACCTGAGTAGGGTAGAAGGATGACGAGGAATTAGCCAGGCAAACTGGAAGCCCTTGGGGCTCTGCTGGATCCCCTTTACCTTACTGGCAGGTGCCTCATCTCCCACTTGCTATGAGTTGGCTGCTAAGAAAGCTCACAGCTGCCTCCTTCTTGGAAGATTTGCCCTCAGCCAATGGGAGGCTATGCTGTGCATCTACCCCACCCCCACCAGACTTCAGCCAACAACTGACCGATATAGGGGTACAAAAGGTCAGGTCCCTTGCCTCAAGACAGATCAGCTTTGTGGTGTAATCTGTGCCTCTTAGTTTCCCCTTGGAATCCGGGTGAAGCTAATCCCCAGGTGAGACACAGCTCCTACTCTCTTCTCCTGCCTTTTCTCCTCCATTCCCTACTTGAAGCCTTTCACTTCAGTAAAACCAAACCACTCGCAATTCCCCTTCCTTCACCATGTGGTTCCATACCTCTGACTGACTTTTCTTGGAACTTCCCATCTTTCTTGGCCTGGCCAGCTTACCTCAGGCATCACCTCCTCTAGGAAGCCTTCCTGAACCTGGAAGAGCACCAGGAATCTCTCCTCTGAGCTCCCACTGCTCACTATACAAACCTGAGTCCTTTTATAGTATCATATTAAAATTATCTCTTTATATGTCTGCTCCCCTAGTATAGTGCAAACTACCCAAGAGTGGGAACTTTATCTTGTTCAGTTTTGCTCCCCTAGTCTGTGGCACGGTGTGTGGCACATGACAAGGGCTGCACAAATGTCTGCTGACCTTATAATGTCTCATTTCTCACCCCAGCACAGGCCAACATTGAAATGGAGATGAGAAATGTGGAAGGAAGAAGAGCTGAGATGGTCCAATTGCTATACCAGGCCGTTAGGCCCAGGCAGCTTAATAGGTATTGATCCTACGGTTCTGGCCAGAGAGAAAGGGCCTCTTCTTACAGCCTGGATCATGGAATGGTATATGGAAGGGACCTCGAAAAATTTCTTAATCTACTGTTTCCTAACCTGACCTAATGAAATCTGCAATAAGGCTGCTTAATTGAAAAGGAAAGAATGTTGGATTTCTTTGCTTTTGATGGGAACCATGTCATTTTGTCATGGGAACACTGATTATTGTGCATTGATAAGAAACCCAAGTCAGCAATGATATATATCTTCACCAAATACAACTGAGGAAAGGAATCAATTATTACTTAAGAAATATGGTTGGAGAGACTAAATCTTTGAAAACATGCAACCTAGCAGAGCCTTGTGATAGTCTGACTTGGCACATATAGTTTCAACATACTGGAGAATCACCAGGCAGGTCCAGTATTGGGATCTGTAATTTCACTGAGGCACACATTGAACATTGTGCACTACAAAGCTTAGTGACCAATGACACCTGCACTGCACAAGCCCTTGTGGTTCTCTCTGCAAAGTCACCTCTGCAGGAGCCTTTGTGAAATGATTTAAAAAAAATAGCCACACCTGTGCTTCAGACAGAGTAAAGGAAATGCACTGTCAGTGTTACCACAGTAATGATGTAACAACGAAATCTCGAGTTTATTTTAGCTACAGCATTTGTTTCAATGATTTTATAAATGACTTTTGTCCTGTATTTCAGAATCATTAAGGCTGTGAAGGGGTCATATGAATCTGGTATACCTCATTGCATTTAGTGAGAAAACCTATATGCCATACTGAGTATTCATAAATGTGTGTGTCTGCAAATCTTTTGGGACATATCTCTTAGGAATGACAAGCGTCCACAGTATAAAAGCGTCTATGGTGATAAAACGGTTGAGTTTCACTATTCCATCTCAATGTGCTCATTTCACAGATGAAGAAACAAAGTGGTTTTCTCAAGGTCACTTAGCTGGTTAGTGTTGGAGCTACAATTAGAACCCAGAGTTATTAATTTAGAGTCAAGAACTGTTTCCACAGTGTAGAAATGATAACTAAGGCTGTCACCTGTAGAGGTGGGTTGGAGGAAAGTCAATAGGAAACAATTATAGGGGGAGATAAGGTATCACTGATGAAGTTCTACATTGTAGATTATCTCTGACAGGTTTTTAATCACAGAATCAGTGTGCTGCCCTAAACCATCTGCACTGTTCATAAATCTACTCTCAAAAATATTTTCCTCAAACAAGGGAAAATTATTTTTCTAGGTCATCTCCTGTTTTAGAATTTTTGGAGAGTTTACTGTTGCCAACTTCATAGAAATCTTGATGGTCTTTGACGTGCACTTATCAGATTTATAAAATCCCTCTTGATGCTGTTTTTAGCACATCTCTTTAAAAGGAAGACCAATACCCTTGAGGTGGGAGTGCAGCTTGGCAGAAATAATGGGCCCCATTTGGTTCTTTATTCATTTGTGAATTTGTTTATTTTTGGCAGTCCAGTAAATACGTGGGTTGAATGATTTTGCTTTGCAACCTATATTTAATCTTACCAAGATCCTGACCATGAATGATATATGAGGATAAATAAAGTCCCCAAGGTGATTAATCCTAAAATGTACTGTTATGGTACATGATTTACACAGACAGCTGGAATGTGGTGTACAAAAAGGACGGGATAACTGTCCTTCAAGACACCCACATCAGTAAATTGACCCAGTCACTCATTTTAGTAGACTATCTTCCCATTCTTTACAGGGCTTTTACTAGCACATTGAGTCCTTTTAAAATATTCTGCATTTAACTTGGGACATCTCCAAAATTCAAGGATCCTGGGGTGCTTGGAGGATATTCAAAAGACCATCACTGAAAATGATTAAAGGGAATGGGAAACGGGAATATTGAGCATAATATAAAGAGATATCATTTCCAGAATGGTAAATTACTGTTGTTTGTCTCCAAAAAGTAAAAAGCAAGAAGAAATGGGCTCAAATTATAACTGGCAGGAATTATCCTGGACATAATGCACAATGCCCTGGCGCTGGTACAAGCACACACAGGAGCCTTTGAAGTCTCTTCCTTAGGTAAATGTGGCAGGCAGAGAAAATATAGCCAAGGAACTAAGACTTAAATTATTCATCAACTCAACCTATCCCAAGAAAAAAATGACATTACAGTTGGATTAAAGAACATTAATTAGGTAAGAAGAAGAGAGGAAGTAATAAAAATCTGGTAACAAACTAAAGAGAAATCAAATATATTTTAAAGCTGTGCTCACGGCATTGAGCATAGCCTTGCAAATCAAACCCACCCCTAATCCAAAAATTTTGTATTATTTTGCTATTTTAAACCTCTCCCCTGGCCAATCAACCAAAATTAATTGATTTATTTGAATTTACCTTCTTTCAAATTGCCCTTTCTCCGAAGGCCTAATTAGCAGTGTAATGAGTTTTTTTTTAAAAAAGGAAAAGATGGCGTCTGATAACTTTCTAGGCTCAATTCCAGAGAGTTCACTGCAGATGGCTTCTCATTTCTCTAGACTTTTTATTAGGTGATAATGGAAAGCCTCCTTTGAAGAAGAATTATCGAACAGTGCATCTCAAACTTTAATGTGCATACGAATCACCCAGGGATCGTGTTAAAATGCAGATTCTGATTCCGTGGATCTGGAGTGGGGCCCGAGACTCTGGACTTCTAACAAGCTCTCAGGTTGCCTACGCCACTAGTCCAGGGACCACATTTTGAATTGCCAGGCTCCAGACCTGCGCTGCCCAATGTAGCTATTGAACACTTGCAGTGTGGCTAGTCTGAACTGAGATGAGATGTAAGTATAAAATATACACTGGATTTCAAAGACTCAATATGAAAAAAAATGTGAAATAGCTCAATTTTTAAATTGCTTGCATGTTGAAATAATATTTTGGGTATATTGGGTTGTAAAATATATATTGTTAAAATTAATTTCGCTTGTTTCTTTCTATGTTTTTAATGGGACTACTAAAAATTTAATTTCATATGTGGCTCATTATATTTTATTGGACAGTGCTAGTTTAGTTTATAAACAAATAGATATAGATCATATTTTTAAAAAATACAGGATCATTTCTGGAGATCCTTTACAGATCAAGACTTTTTTGGCTTTGAAAAGTTTCATATTGACCTTTTTATCTCATTTAATAATGACATAAGATGAGAAATACTCGCACTTCTCAGAAAAGGCACGTCTCTTTGGCTAAGCCCAATGAAAGGCAATGTTTTCAGATAATAGTGTGTGAGACCTGGGGCGCCGTGGCACCAGTGCACCAGCTCGTTCTCTCTCTCGATGGCCTCGCCAAGCTCAGGTGGCCAGTTGCAGTTCTGTTCCTGCTCCATGAGGAAGTCCACACTCTGCCATACCAGCTCCTGATCTGAGGGCTTGAGGTGCTCATGGTAAGAAAGAAGCATCTGGAGAATGGACGACAGACCATGAGCTGCTCCTATATTGACAAACAAAGCATAATTAATTCACATAATTGGGAGAAGAGCCAGTTTAATTTAGTGAACAGACAATCATAGTACAAAAAAAATGAATGGCAATATTGCTTGAAGGCATACATAGTAATATAATAGAGTGGCCTAAGAACAAGGCTTCTGGGGAGCATACATTAGAGCACGGGTTGGAAAACTACAGCCTGCAGACCAAATCTGGCTTGTTGCCTGTTTTTGTAAATAAAGTTTTATTGAAACACAGCCACGCTCATTCGTTTGTGTATTATCTATGGCTACTTTTGTGTTACAGTGCCAGAGTTGTATTTGTGACAGAGACCATATGGCCCACAAAGCCTAAAATATGTATTATCTATTCCTTTATAGAAAAAAGTTTAGTGACCGACCCGTTTTAGAGAAAAGACTTTTTAAAAACTTCATAATTAACATATCAATAGCTTTTATGAAAATGCTTTTAAAGTAAAAATAATTTCTTCTAGGTATACTAAACATTCCTTCATTCATTCACTCAACACATAAGAATTAAGTACCTACCATGTGCCAGATAATGTTCTAGGTGCTGAAGATAGGTCAGTGAAAAAAACAGACTAAATCCCTTCTTCTATAAAGTTAAACACTAGTAATTGGTATTAATTTACTTAATGCTTCATATTTAGCACTGTGCACTGGGCATTGTTCAAGCCCCAGGGGATACACAGAGGAACATGACTTGGTCCGTATCCTTGAAGACCTCCCCATCCAGTCCAGTAACAAAGCCAGACTTGTAAATAATCAGAACATGAAGTGATAAATGCTCTATCAGAGATGTGTACGAAGAGCTAAAAGAGAACTGAGGGAAGAGAGCTTAACTTGGCCTTGGCGTGGAGGAGGCACTAAAGGTTCCACACAGGTACTGTCATCTGAGCAAAGTTTTGAAGAATTCTCCTAGGAGTTCCAGCATAGGGTACTGTACTAGCAAAGCCCTCGGCCTGCTTTAGGAGAAAGAGTTAGCTTAACAAAGGTAAAAGTTTTCACTCATTTCTAATGAGTAGAATGCTGATTGATGGGTGGTACTGGGGTCAATATATTCTGAGGGCTTGCTCTTTAAATTCAATTCTATAATTTTAAAGCTTTCTTTTTGCACTCAGGCACTCAGAACTCTTGACTCCCCAGAAACAGCCTTATAGTTGTATCCAGTAAAAAATTCTATTCTTCTTAAAATTTGGTCATGAAACTTGAAGGTAATTTTCTTTCACTAGATTTAAAATTGTTAGGAAGAAGCTTGCTTTCCAGGAATATATTTAAGAATTAGATAGAAATCTGGTTTGTTCTATACATGTAAATGGCTGGAATGTTAATTTCTCTAAAAAGACAGAAAAATGAAAGGAATAGTTCTATTAGGGAACTCGAGCAGACACTGTCAGTGCCCTGCCTGTCACCTCATCCACACTCATCATTCTGCTGCATCTATCTTCCCTGCTTCCTACAACAAGCACCTATCATTCTGCCTGAGGCTTTCACTGGCCACAGCGGTGTGCCCAGCCCACAGGGAAAGGGCTGAAATCCCAGGGAATTAACACCTCTGTGAGCAGCCTTTGATCAATGAAGCAGGGAGTTGGTAGATGAATACCCCAGCTTCCTCATCCCTTGAGTGGGACAATTCTGAGGCATGTTCTATACAGACTCTAAGAGTCCCCAGTGGAACTGAGCCTCAGTTATTCATGATTGCTCACTATTACATCCTCTATTAACTTCTTTCTCTACCCTGCCTCACTTCCTCACTCCTCTATCAATACTTTTTTGGGATCACCTCCCAAATAAACTATTTATGCCCAAATCCTTGTCTCAAGGTCTAATTTTAGGGAAACTTAGACAAGAACTTAAAGGTTCTTTGAGAAAACTCTCAGAGAACTGCTAGTCTTTAAGCTCATTGCTGAAGTTGCTCATCAGCCATCCATTCATTCATTGGGGTACCCTCATTATGTATAGGCTCTTGGTAAAGGTCCAGGGATCACAAACAGAAATTAAAGAAATTCCTTATCCTGAAGGTGCACAGAGCCTGCTAAGGCAGTTGGACAGGTAAGCCATTAATTACAGTACAATGTCATAAGGCCTTCAATAGAAGTGTGGCAGGGTGACACGATACTATCCAATTTTGCTTCAGGGTAAAGCTTGAAACGTGTGAATGTTTCTCCAGAAAGGGTTCAATAAACTCTTTTTCCAAAAGCACAAAGTTTCTCAATAGATCTAATGATGTTTCAGCAGAGTCTTGAAGTCTGGGTATAAGTATTACAGATAGATGAAGAGGTCAGAGGAAGCCAGGAGTTCTAGGCAAAAGGAATAGGCACAATGGTTACAAAGATATGAGAACACTTTGCTGGTAGGAGACTATGCTGGATAGAACCAGAAAGGGAGAGATAAAGCTTGAGTTTGGAGAAGGAGCCAGGTGATCTACAAAGGGCCTTGCAAGTCATGCTCAGGAGTGATGAGGAGCCACTGGAGGATCCAAAAGGATTCAAAAAGAAAATTAATCCAGAGTAATTAATTTTCACTTTACATGCCTCATATCTCAAAAGTAGCCATTGTGATTCACTAGTTTGTTATTAATCCACTAATACTAAAAACTTGAAAGTGTTAGTGGCTGAATCTTGTTTCCCTGTGCAGAGGCACTATTTACAATGAGTGTGTAAACTGTTCACAAACTTTCAGCAAAATTAGGCCAATGAACTCACAATCTAGAATAAGGATTTTAGTCTTCAGTGAAAGTAATTGTTAAAATAGCTACATTTCTGTCAGGTAGAGTATGAAAGCAAATATTAAATTGTGATTTGTAATATCTATCAATATTTGTTTTTAAATGGCATTTTAAAGTGTTTCTAGTTAAATGAATAGTGATACCTTATGTCAGAAACAAAATCTTCCAGTCTTTAGTCAATGCTGATATTAGAGACTCTCTTCATCCTACAGGCCCTTGCCAACACCTTCACTCACCCAAGTATTCAGTTCCATAGTAAGAATACATCAGGGGAAATGGTTTCCTCTTTTTCAGGGCATACTGCTTCCCAGAGTCCAGAATCGCCTGGCAAATTGATTTGATCTGTGCTGGGGTCAGCACCTGAGTAAGGAAATCAAGAAGCAGAAGTCAAATCAGATCTTCTTTTTCCCTCAGACACTGGATTTTCTTGCTTTAAAAGTCCCATCAGGGCCGGCCCTGTGGCTTGGTGGTTAAGTGCGCGCGCTGCGATGCTGGTGGCCCGGGTTCGGATCCCGGGTGCGCATCGAGGCACCACTTCTCCGTTCATCCTGAGGCCGAGTCCCGCATACAGCAACTAGAAGGATGTGCAGCTACGACACACAACTATCCACTGGGGCTTTGGGAAAAAAAAAAAAAAAAAATTAAAAAAAAAAAAAAAAAAAAAAGTCCCATCAGCATATCCCCAAAAGCTGTTTCTACGTGTAAACAAACTTAGCCAACCATAACTTCCTTTTTCTTAACCATTGATTCTTTGTTGTCAAGTTTATCTGCCCTCTTCAGAAAATTTGCTGTTTTGATGGGAAATACACACCTTTACTGCTATGGGCTTTTATAAAATGCAAAGACCACTTTACAGCTGTTAGATCGTTAATCCTTGTCACAGGAACAAGAAATTGCTCAGAAAAGAACAAAGACTGGTCCTCACAAAGCTGTTATTCCTGGTGTACAATGCAGGTCTGGGCCAGACAATGGGACTTCAATCTGTGTCTTTTAGACTGTGCTTATAAAGCTACCATTCTGTGACAAGCTGCTGTAGCCCTTTGCATTCCCTGAATGAAACCAAAGTTCAATAAGTACCAAGGCAAAATAACTGTTAATATCAAAATGACTGAATACAGAATGACTAAAATGCAATGACTTGAAGTCTCCCATATTTTATTCAATCTACCCACAGTCAGTTTGAGGACTGCAGAGATTAAAGTGTTCTCAACTCTACTAAGCATCATCGAGTTTATGAGGATTCTGCTCAGGTTTGTGATGTTTTCTGCCTCCCACTTTTCCTCAGGGCAGATCAGATGCTCCCTTTGGCACACTCCTGATATCACCATGACTCTTTGGTACAGCACTTACCAACCTGGTGTTATGTCTCTCTCTATACTAGATGATCAGTTATTTGAGGGCAAAGACTGTGGCATCTCATCATTTTGGTATCCTTGGTTCCCGTTATTTTGTGTGTGTGTGAGGAACATCAGCTCTGAGCTAACATCCATGCTAATCCTCCTCTTTTTGCTGAGGAAGACCGGCTGTGAGCTAACATCTATTGCCAATCCTCCTCCTTTTTTTTTCCCCCCAAAGCCCCAGTAGATAGTTGTATGTCATAGTTGCACATCCTTCTAGTTGCTGTATGTGGGACGCGGCCTCAGCATGGCCGGAGAAGTGGTGCGTCGGTGGGCGCCCGGGATCCGAACCCGGGCCGCCAGTAGTGAAGCGCACGCACTTAACCGCTAAGCCCCTGGGACGGCCTGGGTATCCTTGGTTCCTAACCCAAAACCTGAGGGGGCCTTTGGTAACTGATGAGTGAGTAAAAAGTGTCAGGTTTACCGGCATGAAAAGCAGAGCCCTCCCTCCTCTCTTTCCTTTATCTCTTCTCTCCCTCCCTCATTCTTCCCTCCCTCCCTCTTTCCTTTCCTTCTACAATTATTTCTTAAGCCTCTACTATATGCCAGAAAAGCCTGTTCTAGATGCTGGAGATATGACAGTGAACGAGACAGACTAGACCTCTGCTCTCATGAAGCCCATCTTTCAAAAGTGCAGACCTGCACAGGAAAAGTACTAGTCAGAGTAACAACAACAAAAGTTCACCTCAAGTTCAGCCTTCACCTAATTGAATGAATCTGGGATCAAGGAAAAGTCCAGTGGATTTTAGCCTCCCTCCTAATACTCGCACATTGAATTTTCCTACCTGATATTTGGCATTAGTCTCACAGATTCCTTTTGAAATAAGGTACCAATACTTTGTTAAATCATAACTTGCTTCTCTGATTTACCCAACATTACAAGGGTCAAATATAATCTAAGTTTTGGCCTCCACAAATCTGGCATTTAATTTGGAAAAATAATTAAAGAGGAAGCTGTTCATTAATTAATTTGCCAATTAACATTTACTGAGCTACTATTCCAGTAAGGCCCTGAACTAGCTATTGTGGGGAAATTCTAGAAAGCCTGGAGCACATTTTTCTCCCTACAGGGAGCTTACTATCCAGTGCTAGAGATGAGACACAGACAAAAGTCTACAATAAAGCAATTAAAGCTCATGAGCCTAGGGGTGGAAAGAAACAGTATTGCAGAGTGTGTAACACAGACAATGAAGCACTGCTCAGCTCCACTAAGATTTTACTATACTATCTCCTCATTTTCCAACTGGTTGCTCAGAAACAACTGTCATGGCTTTCAACTTAAATTTTCCTTCTATTAGCTACCTATCTTTGTCTCTTGGGTTCATTCCTCCTTTCTGCCTAAAATTGCCAAAGACTCTATTTGCCCATGCATTCCCACTGTCATTTCAGGGCTCAGCCTCAGGTCTTTCCTTAGTTGAATAGCAAATTTCTCCTAAATGATTTCCTACTCTGCATCTATTCAAATTGCTACCAAAATTTTCATTTGCTATTAAAAACATCTTCTTCTTTGTGCCTTTATCAGTACCAACTAATCTTACATTTAGTCTTACTCTACTTAATATCTTGCACCCAGAGTCTTATATCAACCCCTCCATCCTGCTCTCTCAGAAACTAAGAGCCTTGAAGGGCATGAACTTAACAGGACTCCAACCTGGTCCCATCCTATAGTTTTGTGGCTTTTCAAATATATCTAGCTTTTCAACTGAACTTAGGTCCTGTCTGCCAATATTGGCCTTAAATCCACGTGATGGAAGCAGTTTTGTGATAGGAAAAGGTCACTGCATTTTGGGGGTATGTACTCATTTGAATGACTAAAATTCTTCCTACATGACTTCTGTGCCAATAATTGAAAATCAGCTTATTCTTTCCTCAGTTGAACATTTATTCATGTTTCCCCCCACCACCGTGTGTGTGTGTGTGTGTGTGTGTGTGTGTTCACCTGCTTGTTTGTAACCCAGAAAAAAAATCAACTTAGGTTATATGTGGTGCCCTCTCCCTTTCTTTCCACCCCTAATCCACAGCTCAGAATAGAGAATGAGTTTATAAAATATTTCAAAACCTCCCCAGTCATGCATCATGTCTGGGTGGTTTCCTCTTATCTCTCAGAAACACTGTGAAAAACAAAGAGAAACCACATTTGTTCGGCTGGATAAAGACCAGTGATGCATGCAGTTCTTTATCTCTGGGAACAGACAAGACCTACCCATGGGTTTATCGATCAGCAAATAAAAAGTGAAAACACTGCGCATTAAAAGTGTGTGGAGGGGAACATTGAGGTAGAGGGTGCTCTTTTTTTCCCCCCTGAACAAACAGTACAGAAAGAAAGGAGATGAGATGTGAGGGGAGGGGCTTGTTCTTGCTCTCTCATTTGTCTGCTTTCTCAGACATCCCTCCATTCCCCACTCCTAGCACATAGGAACACATGCATCAGCACACACACCACCTCTGAGAAGATGGCCTCCATACTTTTGAAACACCCTGAGACCCTGAGAATGAGGAAGTGGCATTTCCAGTGGGAAAAAAAAGTGACTGAGGATGGAGAGAGGAGCTCCCTGCCCATTATGCCTTTATCAAAATAAATCCAAATTCCTTCTCCTGTATTTGTAGCACATAAGGCCTATGCATGTGTTTGATATCTTAGATGGATTTGGTTCTTTAAGTAAACTTTTTTTACATTGAATTAAAATAAACTAAGATAACTCAAAAATACAAAGCAAGTCTGTGGTGGTTTGGTTTAAACAGTTTAACCAATTCTCTTCACTTATCCTCAAACAGAGGTGTTTGTTGTGCAATATTCCTATTGGGCAGGGCTCTGAGTATGAAGAGACAAGAGACCAATAAAGCCCATGCTATGTTTCTTGGCCCTGCCTGAAGGTCATGCTGTGATTGAACCACCTCCATGCTGAGGAGAGATGACCTTTGTTAAGGAAATGAATGAAATGGACCAAGCCACAGAAAGCTTGCCTCACCACAGACTCCTTTCCAGAGCAAGTGTCCTGCCCACAGGCCCTCTGAAGTAACAGTCTTTGCTAGCTATATATCAAATATATATCAAATCTACATGGAATACAGAAAGTCACTCAAATATCATGTCAAACATATATGTAACAGAGTAAGAATCTGATATTAACTTAGGTGTTTTCCTCCAGCAATTTATTTCACCCCAATCCTTTGTCCCAGGATTCTAGTGGTAGCACAGGCTTCTGCTCAGAGAAAGAAACAAGCCATTTGACTACCAATGAACATCAAAATGACTTTTGATACCCAGGGACAATAGCTTTGAGGAAAAAGGCTTTTGAGTTGTTAGAACCTGGGTATTTTAGTACTTAAAGTTGACACCATAAACAATAGACTTGAAGGATATGTAGAGTCAGGATGGAGCTAAAAGCTGTTCAAGGTGGGAAGAGTTGACATGGAAAGGAAACCAGGAAGTTGCAAGTCAGTGTGGAGTTCCTGCTTTTCCTACCTACACCCCCTTGTGCCAAGCCTTAGGAGAGATCCCCTGGATAGATTTGGGGATCTATAGGTAGTGAGAATGTGTTCCCTCCTCCCACCTGGAATTCGGGGAGATGGTAGCCTCAAAGATGTGTATCCTGCCTGAGGGTCTGGGGCCAGTAAAAGAGATATCACTGCGTGGCATGTCCCAAGACAGAGCCAGAGACAATCCTGAGTTTCCTGTGGGCACCATGGTGGAGCAGAAAAAATCTTATCCCTGAGAGTAAATTTATTCAAAAAAGTTCCCAGTCCAAATAATTTCAAATTAAAAAGTTAGGGAAACTGTTTTGTACAAAGTCAATATTCACAATTGGTTAGATTTTTACTTCAGATGCCTCTTTGGGGTTGTGGTTCGGTTGGAACCCACTAGTTCCAGGAAAGAGCCAGGCCTTCAGGAAATGTCTGGAGCAGGCAGAGATTTATTTCAGGTGTTGAGAAGACAAAAACTCAAGAGAGCTGCTTTGACAA